CGCGGAAAACATCCGAAAAATATATGAAATATGTATGTTGTTTACTGTTAATTGTCAAAATAATGTATTCATTACCCGCGGTGGCTGGTAATTTCATATTAAGAAATATTGATAGTATAATCGATTGTCTTCAAAGAGTTCCTGAAATCATACATAAGTCACATGAAAATGAGCGATGGTTAGAGTTGGACAAAATGATTTCTCAACAGTGCGTGACAAGATGATACGTAATTAGTGCTTTACAAAGTGGAGACTGTATTATAAGTTTTCAAGTAATCATAACATAATACCATGCATTATAAGGTGTAACAAAAAACACATTATTGTATTTTGAAATCAGTCTTTCCCTTTTGGGTTGAACTTTTTTTGCATGTAAATATGCTATTGCTTATATTCACTGTTACGTGCAGGGTAGTGTCTGTTAGTCAAAAATGCAGAAAAGTTAGGGCTACTTTTAGTGCTAGTTCTGCTTGGTCGATGATTCACATGATTACATCTTATATTTTCAAAGCATGCATGTTAACTTTCCGACTACTTATATCAAACTATATTCTAAATGGAATAAGAACGCAACGCATAAAATCAAACTGATTTGATCAATCACAGACTTGAACATCTTCTTCTGAAAACGGTGAATTATCGTAAGGACTTTGTCTTTACTCTTGTGAATTGCCAAGTTCAATTGTCATTTTAATTATTGAATCATTTATTCACTCATGCCGGTATGACTTCGTTCTCATTGGTAGCTCATATGTTTTATTCAACCTGTCTTTTCGCTGTGTTATCAGTAATATGTATGCTTCTCATTGTTACCTTTCCCATTGTATTATGAAGACACAAGTGTGAAATGATTTGATTAAACGAACTGAAGCGCAAAATTGTCATTAATTTTGGTATAACAGTTTGGATTTTTTGTTTTGCACCACTTCGTTGAAGCAGTTTATTAAATGAAACTAACCAGCCTAACATTCAGATCAGTAAATATAATATATTTTGAGAAAACTGTGAAAATGCTTCTTCAATTTTCTCGACGCAGAGCAAAGTTTCCGTTGAGAGCCCTCCTACCAAAATGTTCAAAGTCTGACAGTCCCGAATCCTTCAATAAACATTTTTTCCTCCTCACACCCCTGGGGAGTTAGGGCTACTACGCTTTGACTTGAACCATCTGATGGTATGTTCCTAGTTTGTGACTCGCCGAAAAATAATTCCAATTTACAAATATGTAACCAACTGCAAGGTAAACTAAATTCGGTCAAATGGGGACAGTATGTGAAAATAGGCCGGTTTTTCACGAAATGGTTAGGTCCAAAACATCACGATGACACGTTTTTAATTCTTCTTTTGTTGGACATGTTAAAATGATTTCACGGGAGGCTTGATCCTATTATTTACTTTAAATTAAGTGGGGTTATTTCAGATTTTTGCAATTTCCTTTTATAATGTTTGCAAATTGTGTCGGTTACCTTTAAACCACAGAATCGATCACTGAAAAAATTGCCTGCGTTAATTTTACCCAAAAAAGGGTGAAAACTGGAACTACCCAAACTTGGGTTGTTCTATAACCAACTGTTTGGGTTAGAATTTCTGCTAAATTCAACCAAAACTTGTGGTTATTCAAGACCAAATTTTATTTGGTCTTGTACGACTATAAATTTTGGTTGAATTTAACATAAATTATAACCCAAACAATTGGTTATAGAACAACCCAAGTTTGGGTAGTTCCAGTTTTCACCCTTTCTTTGGTAAAATTAACCCAGGCAATTTTTCAGTGATATCTAGATTTAAATCTGCGCTACTCATCCCCCTTTCTCCCGGACACGAATAAAAATAGAATTGCGATAGGGCTTTACTGGGAATAGAGCGCACCTAGCGTCAAATGAGATCCCCCACCATTTCAAATTTGTAGCCTTGGTGCCTTGTTGCCCTCCCCAAAAGATGCTGAACCCCCCAGGATCCGACAATATCGAGAGAGGGCGCTCTCTCCGCGTTAAGCATATTCATAGCTGCCCATGGCTGTAGAGAAATAGCTATACATGTATAATATGGAAATATGGTGTTTAAATCACCGACGCTTTGAAAGATGATGGGAACAATTCAATATTATTTGTTTATACAAATAGTACAAATATCTGGTCATCCTCTCTGGTTCTCTGGTGCATGTGGACAGCCTTGGAACTCTCGGCAAAATAGACAACATGTGTTTTAATTGTCAGAAGCTGCGATTCGCAAAATGATTTACAAAGCACCCCTTTGAATATCTTAGTGTGAGTGAGGAACGATGCTGGCAGGCATGCGTGTAATGACGCGACGTAGGAATATATTGGACAGACCCACCATGTTTTCCTCCTTCGGCACACATTTTTATTGCAATCAAAACATTTCTAAACGTTTAAACGTCTTCCCCTGCATGTGTATTTGACGTACGGTTCAACTGAAAACATGATTAATACACCAAATCATTTTTATTTTGTGTGGCAAACATGTCTTAGTTTTGATAGCACAACGTTCTAAGTTGCTACAATGTTTGTTTTAAAATACCCCAACCTCCTAAATGGACTGAGACTCACGACTTAACAAATTATTTGTATAAATGTGCGCTTTCCTACGGGAGATTGTGACTCGTCACCACCCCTCTTCCATAAGAAAGCGCACGTGTAAACAAAGCGTGACATCTTTATGTCCGAGGGCTATTGTGGTTATGTATAATATTGATTGATATATTTTAACTCATATCCATTTTTCAATGAAAATATAACAATACGTGGCCTGCGAAACGGCATGTCACACTTGTCATTTACTGCTAGCGTAGACATCTTTTATACCATATTTATCTTCTTCTTTTTTTCAGATTAATGCAGAAACATTATCATCGAAATTAAAAAAGTTAACTTTCTATTTACGCCTATTTACTTAAGGCCAAAAAAAAAAACAGTCGGTCTCTGGTCAGACCAAAGTTCCGGAATTGATGCGGCGACGCGGGGGGGGGGGGGGGGGGGTGGCGGCTTTTTTTTCTTTCTAAGCATGGATTGTACAGACAAGGTGGGTACTATTTTTTTTCTTTTTGTGTCCTCATATACATTGGTGTCCTCCATAATTTGCCTTGGTGCCCTCCATCATTTGCCTTGGTGCGGTTTCCCCATTCCTTGGTAAAAAAAATTGAAAAGTTGCGACAATAGAGGGCACTGTTGTAGCTACCGCGGACCAGTTGAAGGAAAAAAAGGTTGACGCGCATGATTAAAATCGCGCGCGCTGACCAGAGACCGACTATTTATCATTTTTTGGCCTAAAAGAGTTTTATACACAAGACTCTCTCAAAAAGTCTCTTGTTATTGAGGGGCCTGTGCTTGTTTCACTTCTACATCGTATACTAGGTTATTATTGTACCGATGCTTACACTTTTTATGGGTGTACTTGTAATAAGTGGTGCACAAAAAAAATACGTGATGTTGTATGTTCGGTAGAACACTAATCACGACACAGCCTAATCGTATCGAAATTCAGATTTAAATTACGTAATTAGCGTTCCTTGCTTCTTAATTTTTTCTCTTGAAAAAAATATCACCAAAGTGTGACACAAATTCAATTAATTCCATCACCAGACAATTAAATATCAAACTTTCAAAATGTAGACCTTTTAAATATGATTTTAAACACAATATTTCTTAATTACGAAATCGAGTACATGTACATAGTTCTATGACGCGTTGGAGGTATTGCATGCATTAAGGCTTGTATACAAAATGTAGCACAAAGTGTTAAAATATTTTCTTGGAAAGGAACCAAAAAAGGTAAAAATTCGTAGCTTACAAATAACAATTGCAGGTTTACAGCCTCATAGCACACCATCTTCTGCATACTTCCACTTCCGAACCATACATTTTCACAGCACGATAAAATTGTTCCATTAACATCAGGAGAAAAAAAACCCAGATATTACATAAAAACTGTTCCACTGCTTCCCACATTCATTCACAGGTTAACTAATTCGATGGATCTTGTGGAAAAAGTGGCTACAACAGTTTTAACAATATCAGTAAATCTTTATGACTTAAAAGCACACAGTGATTACATTTTTAAAAAAACTCAGACGGAAAAGTTCGCAGAATAGGACAGGCACTGCTTGAGCACAACTCATTTCAGTATTGCAAGTTAATAATTAAACAAAAATAGAATCTGAGAATCGGTCAGGCTGACATGAATATTTCAACAGACTTCATCCCCACCTCTAATATGCACGAACACCGAAAAAAAAGAAGAAATAGTATACCCAACCTGAAAAGTTAAACGAAAAAGTTGCTCCAATAAGTGGACCCAAATTCGATGTAAACAGGCTATCACGCGTATCGCGCTTCAATGGACGGTCCGACTCTGTGACCATCAAATCGTCTCTGTTTAACAAACCCAACCTAAAATTATCGTAACTGGTTTATCAATGACGATACATGTATAAATAACTGAAACTTTGGCCACCATGTTAAACCTCAATCATAGCGCCAGACATCTTGAAAGACAATGTGTAAAGACCCGATTCATACTGCATGATAATACAAATGCTAAACGAATTATGAATTGAAGGTAGAGCATATTATTTGTCATTTGTGCATTACACTTTTCGTCAGTTGAAGGAACAGAAGTGCTCAAAATCTAAAGAAGGGTGCTGAACAACTAACCTGATTAAATTTAGCTCAGCAAACGATGGATATTCCGAGTAAACAACAGGATCTCGATTTCAAATCAAAGTTGTTTTGAATTGCGCCCGAAATCAGAGTCCGGGGCACGTTTCCATTCAGCCGATTGCAGTTACGCGATGTCACGCAATGAACCGACGCATTATAGCAACCGCACGCGCGTGTTTGTCCTGTCAACGCTTGCGCGCACCCATTCATGGCTTTGCCGAATCAAAAACCAACTACTAACGGAAATTTCCAAAAATGCGTCTTCAAACGCATCTTTGGAAATGATCTTTTCTTGATTTTTTTTTTAAATGACAGCATGCCAGAAAGAATAATTTCACATGGGGTTTAGAGCCAGTACTAAAAACCAAGTATGCTTCTTAAAAATAAAGTTATTTGGAGGGCAGCAAATAATAAACTCTACCTTTAACGAAAGTTAAAGTTTTGCGTTCAACATCACTAGGGAGGAGGTATTTCGAATAAGCGCATACTTGTGACGTCCAAAATGTGCACAAGCATTGGCGCCGAGTATTAACTGGCCTTTTACATGTATCCGGTTCGTAAACGCTACATCTTTTTAACTGAAACCACGCCCACTACACACGGAGTAGCATTGAAAATCATTGCAACCATTAGAACCGGAAGTAGTGCAAAGTGGCGCTAGTAATCAGCGGTGCGTGCGCGATGACGCAGTCACTTACGAACCGGATACACCAACCGACTCTCAGAGAAGTCACGTGCTTTCTGCTAGCATCTCATTTGTCGTCTTGTTTACCAACCACATGTCTGAACTCTTGAACTTCGTAACTTTGGCCTCATGTCCACGGATACTGGCGGCGTGCATTACAACAGTTGAATAGTTCGCCTTTTTCGCAAGCAGGTCATAAAATTTGGGTCCATACGGGAAGATGTTCGTGTCCAGGGGTTTGATCTTAACATACACGGGTTTGTCGCTTTTGAGAAGCCCATTCATAACGTTCTGATCCGGTGTATACCTGCCTTTCTTTTTGTTACTGTCAAGTGCATCCACCCAGGCCTTGACAAATTGAAGACTCGCGTTGGTCGGCTTAAAGTACACGAAGCCAGCACAGAAATTGGATTTCCCAGATCTAACTCCAAACGGGTTGACAGAGTCTATCAAGGAGATGTCAAAGTCTCCCTCGAAAAAGGGAAAGGGGTCCCGGAACCAAAAAGTGTCGGCATCTGAAAACAGCACCTCGTAACCCTCCTGTAGCAAAGCCAGGATATAGGCCTGGCGTTTGTTCATCAGACCATAGTACTGGCTGCCATGAGATCGTGGGTGTTCTATGACGTCCATCTCACCTGAATTAGTCAAGAGGACACGGTATGCCAGATCACCATCCAGTCTCATCCGCAACTGCTCAAAGACCTTCTTGTCCTCAGCAATGACAGTGGTGTTGACGCACACACCCGTTCTCTTGATGCTCTCCAGCATGTTCAGGGTAACATCCAGGAAGGCGAGGTTTGTAGTGGTAAGCAACACCACCCCAGGTCTCCTATTGATGTCGGCCAGGGTGCAGTTGGAAATCTTCCCCCTGGACTCGAGGACGTCCTTGCAAACAGCCGCAGCATCAAAAGCGGTCCTGATGGTAGCTTCAATGCATTTGCACTCACGAGGCGCAGTGGTAGCAGGAGGGGATTGTCTGACCGGAGGGGATTGTCTGACCGGGGCAAAAACAACATCAGACTTCTGCGAATAATCTGGAATGAAGAAATAACAACTTAATACTACAATGAAATAATAGATTTAGTGTGTGCCTCCGATAATTTTCCGTTAGTTTATCTGCATTTTTGTGTCGTATTTCTTATTGCCTTTTTTTTTTTTTGCTTTAAAATCCAACAACACACATGAATAAAACTGGGATTCAAAGTAAGTTTCATTTTAATTAGAGAAACTGAAGAAAACTAATTGCAGTGCCATAGACAAAACTTAGACCCTATGGCATGTTTCCAACACTTTTTGACGAATACGTGTGCTCTATGGTTTTAATTTTCTTTAACCTTTTTTTCTCAAATAAATGATGGCAAAACTGCATCACGGTTGACATGGCTTACATCTTCAATTTTCATCAAACAGTTGGGGTCTCAAAACTTGGGGATTAAACCTAGTCCAATACCATGTATAGCTTGTCCGGAATATTCCATTCCTTGGTACATCATTATTGAAATGTAGCAATCTACTACCGCACGGCACTAACATGCCTAACTTATATGGGACTTACTTTACAATAGCGAAACCAGCGGGAAACATTGCCTACTTGAGCAATGTTCTCCGAAACTATTGAATTTCAAGACTCCCCTCAGGATGGGAGATTTGGAGATGTTAAGGCTGTAGTGGTCAGGAAGTAAAAAGGGAACATGCAAAGTGACCATTACATTAAAAGAGATGTTGTACATTAACATTTGGGTCAGTCTGGAGGGGGAATTGACAAATACTTATTAAACAAATTCATAGTGACATTCATCCATAATGGTTCTTAAATTCCCTATCTTAATGTGACTTTCACGCATGCAAACTATAATGCAAAGGGAATTTAAGTTAAAACGAATGTACCGATACTTTGACTTACTTATAACGAAGGCAATGAAAGCTGCCGATTGCAGAAAGAACAACACTTTATACACATGTTCCTGGGCCATCTTGCGCAGAACCTGAACTGCAAATAAACAGAAGATAATGCAAGAGAAGAGAACATGATACACACTTACAACAATTCGAAAGGTTGTGATGATATAAAAGGTTTACCACATGCATTGTCCGTTAATGTGGAAACAGCTTCTTTCGAATTTTCCGGGGTAGGGTAAAACAAGCTGACCGGCCAGATGTTGCATACTCGAGAATGAGGGGGAGGGGGTCGATACTAGGGGGTCTTAGTATACTATACAGTATCGTTTTAAACATAGTTTTCAAAACAACCGTCTCCACTGGTGCTCTTATTTTGGAGGATGTACTGTTTCAAGGTCTTGGGCTGGACTTTGTGTTATTTATGCTCAGCGTGCACAAATGTAGGCCTAGCGTATGCTTGAAATGCTCCGCACTGCTCCAGGATGTCACCACTGGCTCTGCCTCAACATACTGACAGTGATTGCTGGAGAATCTTGCAGGATTGAGACAGTGCCACTCCTCCAAGGACCACATTCAAGAAATAACGGAGGATTTTGCAGGATTGAGGCTGTGCAATTTTCACATGGAGGTGGTTGAAGGATTTTGCTAGATTAAGTTGGCATCCTACTACCGAAATACCTCGGAAGTTAGGGTTGAAGACGTTGTTTGTAGCTGTGCTTGACCTTAGATCCGCCAGTAACCTTGGCTCTCATCCAACCATGTTAATTACTCACTAGTCCATCTACATTTAATGTTTTCCCTTCTGTTCATTTTACAAATGTATCTGGGAAAAAACGTGCAATTCTGTTTTTTTCTCCGGTCACAGAATGACAATATTCGGTATATAATAAAAAATACAGTAAGTTGGCTTAGTGTAAAAATAATTCGTTTATGCAATTTCGGGTGAATTCTTTGAAAATTTCTGGGATTATCAGCGAAACACCATAAAACCTAAATCCCCTCGATTTTTTTTTTTTTTTAATTCCCTGACAAATATTTTTGTCAGAGAATTAAAGAATGACATGTTGCAACAGAATTGTTTGGGCAAAACTGGTCTTTGGGGTGCGGGGACATATTTCATAATGCTGGGGTGGGAACAAAATTCAAAGATAGCCTATGCAAATATATTTCTGAGTTCGTCCTTTGCAATCTAAGCGGAACATTAAAAGCAAACGTCCAAATTGTATTTCACTTTAATGTGGGTAGAGCTGGTTTTTCTTATATAAAATTGGGAATGATAAAAAAATTGCCTTTAAAATCCACTTATTTTCACTTAAAATTAGAAAACAGAGCAGGTAAATCTTTTTTTCATGCCAAATTCAACTCATCATAGAAATAATTTAGAGTAAATTCAAAAAGAAATTACAGAAAAGGGAAAAAAACACAGTTAGTAATTTGGATATACATGTACCTGTTAAATTTGTGTTACTTTCAGGTTTCAAATGAACGTTTTGCAGTATTCGACGAATAGTTACAATTACGGTAGAAGTATATTAACTTTAATATCGCCGATTCAGACTAAAAATGACACATGCAAATGCACTATTTTTCTTCAACTTTTTAGAAACTTAAGTTTACCGCTTAAAAAGGACAAACCATCCGAAATTTCTTATGAACATTAACGATCTTTGTGAATATGTTAATTTAAGTTCTTCAAAAATAGAAATGTGAGTGAGATTGTTCATTTGGGTTTTTTTATTTGAAAAATGTTCCCCCTTTTTAGAAAAAAAAAACATTTCAGGAACGATTTGACATGTTAACATTCTGCATGCCTACCCCAATTAACTTGTATTTGATGACCAAAAAACACACTGAATTACCTGTAACAGCTAGTTTTTTTATTTAACTTTTAGCAACCCACTTTTTAAATGTGGCTCCACCCCTAAAACAGGCAAAATTCTTCCCCAAAAAAGAGAGAAATATCTCTTTATGTAGCACTCCAGCCATCTGTCAAAATTTAAAGTAGAACAGTTAAATGAAAGAAATCATTTTCTGAGGGGCTAAGCCCCACTTTTTAATATCTTAACCCCGCCCTTAAAAGGGTCGGGAAAATGCATCAGTTGGTTTTGCACTTGTTGAGGTATCCATAGTATAGGTGATCCTAGGGTTTCAAGAATGTTCACAAAAATGCACACCCACTGACTAATAAAAATGTAAATCGTACTACATTGTCATGGCCATCGCCCGACGCGACGGCTGGCCTTGTATTGTGCGATGATAGTACTGATGAAATAATTATTGCCATATGGTGTTTTGTTCGCTCTATCGATCACGGCCTTCACAGCAGTAGCGATTCTGATCACAATTATGCTGCTTCCATAATGATGTACATCTTTTTAATTATACAAAAACCACAGGATTATTCACAGACAACAATTAACCCTTACCCTACTAGACCCTCCAACGCATGCCAATATGTGCCTCAAGAAAATCTCCTATGTTTTTTGCATGGCCCTCCAATATCTGCCATGTCATTTCAAGGGTAACTGGACAGGCACTCTAATACATGCCACAGAGAACAATGAGAGTCCTCTGATAACAAAGTGAGTGCCCCCAGCTGGTCAGTATCAGGCACCCTCCAGAGCCTCCAACTCCTGCCAATTGGAGCCTTCACTGTTAAGACTTGTTATCTGCCAAATAACTGCAGCTGGAGGGCATTGGCATAACCAACTGACATGCAGTAAACTACCCTCAGAGAGTAAGGGTTAATGGTAATTTCATAACATGGGCGCTACAACGACGTCATTTTGACCGAGTGGATTGTTTCAATTTTACCCGAAATCGACATATCCACAACAGAACCTCCAAAATGTAATGTTTGCAACAGGAATATCACACGAGTTAATTCTGTCGTTCGCGTAATGACATTGATCTAAGGTACCGGTAGTATTTTTGGAAAGAATGTTGCAACTTGACGCTGCTTTTTTTTTTCTTCATATATCATCTCAATGAAGGTTAGGCATTGCAAAAATGATGATTACACATGAATCTGGGACTAAGAAACATTTCCACTTTTAATTATTTAACCTACCAAACTAGTTGGCGTCATTAACAAAATGCCGGTATTTCATAGATAAGGGGCAGGTATTCGTATTTTTGAGGACAATTGACGATGACAACGACAAAACGCAACACGAAAATAAAGATGGCGATCACTGCGCGATGTACCGTGAACGCCCAAGGAGCGCTGAATCGCACGGCACCAACAGTAAACCGCGCAGAGAACTTGTAATATCTACCCTGAGGAAACTGTTCAAAAACTACATAAAAAAGGTGTCACTATATATTTTGAGAAAAAGTCTAAGAGTTTAAAAAAACACCCTGACTATAAATTGATCAAAATTGGTCTTCACACACATGATTACCATCTAAAGCCTCCGAATGGGGTCCTAATATTTTCTGCATCCGTATTCTGGGCCTCACTTCCAAAGAGCTTTTTTTCCATGTACAATGAAGTTACAGACTGCAATTTTATTTCCGGTTTGAGCACACTTACCTGGTAAGTTACTAACATACAAGTATTCCTTAACATTGAGTTTTCAAAAGATTCACGAGGAGATTTCGATGGTTGAGTTCAAATTTCAAGCCAGCAATCTTTAGCCCTCTGAACACTAGATGATCACACACGAATATTAGTATATTAACCTGCAGAGTGAAGTTTCAGATACGTTCTGTGGATCTTTGTACTAAAGAATGCTAACTGACCCATTTAGTATAGCCCCTTGCTACTGCGATACCAATGCACATTTATTTTGGAGTCAGTGTAGGCTTTGACATGGTTTACTCACATTATGTGGATTTAGCTCTGATGAGATCTACACGACTTAAAAGTACATCACAGAGTATATATCCTGCCCCTTCTCTGACGGCATCCCTTTGATGCATGGTCTTGATCAAATTGAGGTTGGGTCTCTTACAATCATAGAGGAACTGTTTCACTCTATATGCCGCGTGTATGTTTGTGAAATCCCCATTCTGTATCGAAGCATCAAGCTAAGAGGAGTGCAAATACACACGAGGCTGTTCACAAACGGCTGCTCCTCTTCAATGCCTCAATGCGAGCCAGTGCTCACCGTGGTGTAAGCAGCGGTCAATACTTCAATAGCATTACGTAATAGAACTGTCTGGAGCGCCGCATGTAATATTCCAGCGCTTTACACATTCGGCAATCGATTTATAAGGGGTCGGACCAGGTATGGGGGTCGGCGGCGACTAAGAGCGAGCCGGATCGCGCTGGGTCTGAGCCGAATCTCTCGATCCCTTATCGGAAAGCCGAATACGGGAACCTCCAAGCCCACGAGAATTGTTCATACGTAGGTATGCATCCCCGTGCACTTCCATGCGTTTTTGGTATCTTCCCATACGATCTTCGATCGGTTTCTTCTCGATCCCGACATGCATTGTCATTTTGTTACAAGCTTCGTGACTTCTTTTGATTCTTTTGGTCTATGGCACATGGTCCTTATGTGAAAGTGCATTAGGCCAAAAAAAAAGTCTCCGGTTTCTGGTATGGAGCTTGCCCAAAAAGTGGTGCGGCGACGCGGCTTTTTTTTTTTTTTACCTGATTTTTTTGCTTCAAATGTCGGCTGATGACTGCAAATGGTGCCCGACTAAACTTAGTGCAAATATATGGGAGTCCAGAGAGGCCACATAAAGCTTATTCTCGACCATAACCCAATCTAAAAACACGTTAAAATTGTGCAGCAGCAGGATTCCAGTCAAACCAGTGAGTTTGGCGGTTTTGAGACATCTTTCATTGAAAAAAAAACTTTTTCATTTTGCCGACGCGCATGGCTACGGCGACGCGCGCGCATACCAGAAACCGGAGACTTTTTTTTTTTGGCCTTAGTTGAACCGAAAAAACAACAACATATAAACGTTGCAAGCAATTACACGTTCACTTGTTCAATTGATTCTACATGTAAAGGTGATATTTTAGATCTTATTTCAAAGATTTGCAGTTCACAGGAAATCCAGTGTCTTTTAATAACGGAGAAAATGATGAAACAGTGTTTACATCTTACGCGTAGAGGTTTATGACCTTGCCCATAC